ATCATTATCATATATCACCATCATCACCATCATCATTATCATATATCACCATCATCACCATCATCATTATCATATATCACCATCATCACCATCATTATCATATATCACCATCATCACCATCATCATTATCATATATCACCACGATCATCACCATCATCATTATCATATATCACCATTCTCACCATCATCATCACTATCATATATCACCATCATCATTATCATATATCACCATCATCACCATCGTCATTACCATATATCACCATCATCACCATCATCATCACTATCATCATCATCATCATCAACATCATCACTGAATAATCATCATTGGCATCATCATAATGTTTTATATCGCCATTCATATTCTCAACTCTGTTTTCAGAGGTGACTTTTCCAATGATCGCATGATGGGTTTTGGGACAATGACGTATGCAAGCAATAAAGCAACGTATGAAGGACAATGGGAGAACAACCAGGTAAGATACACTATATCCACGCACCATATCCTACATGCTGTCCATAAACAATGTATATCTTTGTCTTTACTAAAAAAAAGAACTTGTTATAGAGGTGTTGCACCATCACATACAGCTTGGGCTTCCTGTGGTTAGATGGCAGAACAATAAAATCCTTCTGCTCTCGGGAAATGACTTCTTTCTCATGTAAAACAATTGTATTGTTCCTGCCATCTAACATGGGTGCCGTCACGTGGTGGTGCAAAACCTCTATTGCTATTTACAACAGCAAGTACAACAGTGGCGCAGCTCAACGGGGTCAAACTTAAGGAAATGAGAAGGCGCCACTTGTAGCCGCTATACAGTCCATATATGAACCTGGAGCACATCTCTAACCAGTTTGAATTAGTTAGGGTTGGTTTGAGAGGAGGGGCAAAAAGATGGAGGGGCTGAAAAAATCCTCAGAGTCAGAAAGAGAACCAACCAACTCACCTCACATGGGGTGACTGGGATTCGAACCCCGGACCTCAGAGGTGAGAGGCGAGCCTTTTATCACCATGCCTTCTTACTCCCCATGCTGATCAATCTTTGTGTTATAGCGTCATGGTACAGGAGTCTACACGGCACCGGATGGCACACGATATGAAGGAGAATGGAGATGTGACCACATGTCGGGGCGGGGGAAAATGTTGTATCCGAATGGAGAGAGGTACGAAGGATCCTGGTACCGAGATATGGTAAGTACGTTAATCTATCGATTCCCTGAAACAACCTCTGGGCTGATCAAAGTCAGGGCATGGCTAACTCACAGATCAAACCCTGAAACAAGTTCTGGGCTGGTTAAAGTCAGGACATGACTAATTCACAGATGGAATATTCTTTCAAGGGGAAAAAATTGAACATTCGTACAGATTCTATTGTTAAAATACTCAATCATGATTGGCTAATTTGTATGACAATTTGTCAAAGTAGCCTTGGTTGGTGTGGTCACACTTTAACGTCTTTGTCTTAGTGTTGTTGTTTTCCTTTCCCTAAATGTTTTTTTATTATTTCATTTGTCGTTTAGCGTTTCGGCAAAGGCATCCTCCGTTGCCAGGAAGGAGTCTACGAAGGAAAATTCGAGTACAATGTTCGCCATGGTATTGGTTCATTGCGCTACAGTGACAATTCTGAATATGAGGGGGAATGGCAACATGACCAGGTAATAATTAACTGGTAAAAACTGTACCAGAGTTGACCAGGAAATAATGGTTCTACATAGAGAAGAAACTTGGTAAAATACAGTGAATAAAAAACTTGAAAACATCGACTCAAGTCAGCTTTCATTGACCAGGAACAATTGTTTCCTGGTCACTGAAAGTTGAGCTTGATAAAATACAGTAAATGTATGAAAAAATCAAATTCATCCTCAACTTGGAACCATTGTTTCCTGGTCACTGAAGTGAATTCAGGAAAGGTCTATTGCTACAAGTAGAGGCTGAGCTTGATAAAATACAGTAAATGTATGAACACATCAAGTCTATCCTCAACTTGGAACCATTGTTTCCTGTTCACTGAAGTGAATTCAGGAAAGGTCTATAGCTACAAGTAGAGACTGAGCTTGATAAAATACAATCAATGAGATTTAAAGAATTTGCCTGGTTTTTGTTTTCAGCGTCATGGCCAGGGAAAGATGATCTATGCAGATTCTAGTGTCTATGAAGGTAAGTTTTGCCTGCTTGTTCAAGTATTACAGTTAACTAGCAAGTCTGTTTTCTTTGGGGGGAGGGGAGAGTAGGGGCCAGTTAGCACTTGTAACACCAGCCTGAGTATAACAAGCAAATGCAGACTTTTAGCAGCAGTTGTCTTTTCACAAACCTGTACAAGTTACTGATGCTTGTGTTGCAATTGTGAACCATGTAATTATGTCTGGGTTAAACAAACAAGGTGCATTCTAGTTTACTTTGGGTACAAAGGTTTTTTGTTTATCTTATAGGTGTGGTTTGTACCCAAGTTAGACCTCAATGCTCCTTTTTGGTCTTGTATAAAAAAAAGTAAAAATGGTGCATTCTGGTCTACTTTGTGTACAAAGGTTTTTCTTTTATCTTATAGGTGTTGTTTGTACCCAAGTTAGAACTCAATACATCTTTTTGGTCTCGTATAGAGAAAATGAAAAAATGGTGCATTGTGCCTTATATGATGGTGTTTTTTCTATTCGAGCTAGACAATTCACCTTTTGGGTCCTGTATACAACTATTTCAAAAAAGGTTGAATACTGAATACTGCATACTGAATAGTGCATTSCAAGACCAAAGKGCATTGTSGGTCTCGTTAATTTGAAATAAAAAGTAAATATACAGCAATTAACTCTCTACATGTAGTTAGTATATTGTTTCAGATGGAATACACTAAAAATAGAATAAATAATTATTATTAATCCTACTTTAGCAATGTCACTATGACCCACAATGCATTTTGGTCTCGGAATGCACTATTCTGTATGCAGTATTCAGTATTCAACCTTTTTTGAAATAGCTTTAAAACACTCAACGTGGTGAATTCTGGTCGAGCTTGGAATGAAACAACTTCACCTTAATTGATGCCCATTGTTTTTTTTATGAACCAATAGGAAATTGGATGCTTGGGTTACGTAATGGGCGTGGCAAGATGACCTTCTCAAATGGAGCAACGTACGAGGGAAACTGGGACCTAGGCAGTGTAAGTATTGTAGTTGTAACGTGTCTGAGATTAGGTTACTTTGTTGAAATGGTTGACATGTTGGTTGATATAACAAAACCTTTAGGGGGGAGGTTTGGGGAGTGGTTACAACCGAAGGCTTCCCATACCGTGTTATTTCAGGCTGAATTTATAATAAAACGTTTTTTTACGTAGGAGCACGGGCCTGATGGCGTCTTCATTGACGCTGCCAACAGCTACAGCTATGAAGGTAATATTGAATTGGCAGGGGATAATAACCTGATTGACTGACCAACCGACTGACCGACCGACTGACTGACCGACTGACCGACTGACCGACTGACCGACTGACTGATGACTGACTGATTCACTGATTATTTGTCATTATCAGGTGGATGGGAGTATGGCTGTAAGCAAGGACAGGGAGTCGAGAGAACAAGTACAGGAACATATGAAGGAGACTTCAAAGCAAACATGGTGGGTGTATTAATTCTTGATAGTCTTGAGTGTATTTAAATTTATGTGGAAAATTCCTTGTGTAAATTACAATTAGATTATTGGACAAGGAAAATTCCGAGGACTGACAAAATTGGATAGAATTTTTCGAGTCTAATTATTTCTTGATTGGGGAGCATGAAATCCCATTACCTATTAATTATATAGCTGCCTAATTTTAATTAAAATACCCTATCAACGAGAACTGTCCAATTAAGAAAATAAATACCTATATGGGATTAATGAGAAGCTGTATAATTATTATTGTTATTATTATTATTATTATTATTATTATTATTTGTGAATATTCTGAAACTGAAATGAGTCTGTAATCAAGGAACACAACGGTCTGAGTTACATATAGGTCCATCGATGAGGTACTCTTTTTATGAGGTTGGAGATTGGATTGTTTTTTTAAAAATAAAACACATTCTTTTAGCGCCATGGAAAAGGAGTTGAGACCCTATTGGGTGGCATAGTATATGAAGGGCACTGGAGAGACAATAGAAAAGTTGGTGAAGTAATACGAAGAAAAAGATGGGGAGAAACTGAGACGACTACGGAAATACAGGTAATCTGGCATGATTAGTTATCATCGCCATCATCACCATCATCATGAATCACCATCATAGCATCTTCTTCAATCATCATCGCCATCATCATCATCATTATCAATCATCACCATCACTTGCATCATCTTCAATCATCACCATCACTTGCATCATCTTCAATCATCACCATCACATTGTCATCATCACCATCACCACCATAATCATCATCTTCATCATTAATCATAACCATCACTAGCATCATCTTCAATCGTCATCATCATCTCCACCATTATCATCATCGCCATCATTATTATCCTCATACCATCAACATCACCATCGTCATCATCATCACCATCATCATCATTATCATCATACCATCACCATCATCATCATCACCATCACCATCATCATTATCATCATACCATCATCATCATCACCATCATCATCATTATCACCTTCACCCCATCTTCGTATTACAATTCATTAATATAAAATCTATATACTGTTTATTTACAGTATTGGAAGGAAGGACAGTTACTAAACAAAGATGAAACCATAGCACCCGATCTGCCTTTTATCCAAAGGATCACCAACAAATAAACACTCATTGGCTACGAACACTCCTTCAAAGATGCAATATCAACATGCAAAACGTTGTTCTCTATTGCCGAATGAATTCGTTGATCCTAAACAGATAAGTCAACCTTAATGATCGAAAAAGTTTGTCGGTCACAAAAATCCTGGGCTCCTGAATTTCATTTGAAATTTGAGAGTCAATTTTTAAAATTATTTTCTAAGAAAATTGTAAATTTCTTTTTTACACTACTTTCTTTAAGAATGGTAGAGTACTACGAATATGTTTCCATTAAATGCTTTATGTAATGTTTTTCAACTGAAATATTAAGGATATCGACGTATTCAGTTTAGGCATGGCTGAAAAGCATTCCTAGTAAAGAAAGTAGTGATACTCAAGGGAATGACACATGGTCTGAAATGGAAAACATTGTACCATAGTTGAAAAGCATTCCTAGTAAAAAAGTAATAATACTCAAGGGACACATGGTCTGAAATGGCAAAACATTGTACCATAGCTGAACAGCATTTCTAGTAAAGAAAGAAATAATTCTCAAGGGAATAACATGGTCTGAAATGGGAAAACATTGCACCATAGCTGATATAATTCCTAGTAAAGAAAGAAATAATACTCAAGGGAATGACACATGGTCTGAAATGGGAAAAAAACATTGCAAGATTGCTGATATAATTCCTAGTAAAGAAAGAAATAATACTAAAGGAAATGACACGTGATCTGAAAGTGAAGGGATCTTTTCTCACATACCGGTGTAATTATTTTTATTTTATATCGTACCTAAGAATGAATAATATTTTTGAAGGGGTTTGTTTAGAAGATCAGTTACAGTTGCATATCGACAATTATTTAACGGCAATTAGCTAGCATCACCAAATCATTAAATGATTAATATATACAAACAGGTCATAATGTGTAATTATATTACATAGACTGATACATGTGTTTATAAAGCTGTAAAAACTGTAGAAAATAAATGATTGTTAACTGATGACAAATGCTTTGCCAAGTCTCCAAACAGAAGATTAGAACCCAGAGCAAAGACAACAAAGTTTGGAATCAGTTTTAATGGTTAGAGGTTAAGTGGAGGAGCGAATGTTTAAAAAAAATCTATTTCTTTGTACCATCTTGTAGGGCGAACAAGGATTTAAGAAGGGGGAGAGGGGCCTTGAACTCAACGACATGAAGGACAGGAGTTCCCCAGGGTTCAAAGGTTGGTCCACTGAAAAATATAGAATTTGGGACTTTGAGAATTGCGACTGTTAGTAATTAGTTTTGGGGCTATTTACGAGAAACCTAATTAGGATGTTGTTTTGAATTACGGTGACCATGGATACCTGCACRAAATGGAACATTCTAAAACACTACGTTGTTTACCGAGTCTTCGTTGAAAGTTTGGGATCACTTCCAAAGAAGCCTCTTAAAATTTGGGCTTACAAGACAAGTTCAATTTTTTTATTTTGCTAATTAAATTTGCTTTTTTCTCTCAAAAAACTGATTTATCCCAGACTTTAATTCATTTACGACGCGTCAACGCGTGCTGTGACCTAATCTCATAATTAGTAAAGCGTTCTACTTCATTCATTGTTTTTTGCACAAATTATTTTTTGCGGATACGAAAATGTTTGCATCCACACGCAGCGTAATAGTACCTTTTTTTCGTAATTAACTCTTTTTTTTTTTTTTTTGACATTTGAAAATAAAATATTTAGGCCCCGTCCACACGTATCCGTTTTCGTAAAATTTGCGGATTCGGACACAAAAATTTGCGGAAACTTGTTGTGGACGCAACCCTTATCCGCAAAAAGAATGTGCGGATATAAAAATTTCCGGATACGTGTGGACGGAGCCATTGATTACACTCCTTTTCATCTAGCGCCTTCATTTATTATTCGTGTTCACATTTTTGATCACGATCTCTTTTTAGTCTGAGGAAAGAAATATTTTACACTGTATCAGAACATTCCTCTCTGTTTCTTTTGACACCACGGGTGATAATTAGTACCTTTTTTTCGTAATTAACTCTTTTTTTTTTTTTTTTTTTTTTTTTTTTGACATTTGAAAATAAAATATTTAGGCCCCGTCCACACGTATCCGTTTTCGTAAAATTTGCGGACACTTGTTGTGGACGCAACCCGTATCCGTAAAAAAAAAATTGCGGATACAAAAATTTGCGGATACGTGTGGACGGGGCCTATATCAGGCTTTTTATAAGCCCCCTTTACGCTGGCGATTTTTGGGGCAATTTTCGAGGAATGACCTCGTCCGAAATTATTTTCAATGTTGCTAAACAGCCATATTATCGAAAACCAGAGTTCGGCTATGTTAACTTTTATCTTGACGTTTTTTACCCAAACAGTACACTAGAAGTAAAGTTTTTTTTTTTTTTTTTTTTTTTTTTTTTTTTTTTGTTTTGTTTTGTTTTGTTTTGTTTTGTTTTGTTGTTTTGTTTTTTTTGAGCTTCTCGATTTTAAATTCTTGTAAAAGAAATAAAAGTGACTAATTAATTAATTAATTAATTTTTGAGCTTCTCGATTTTAGAAGAAGGTTCTTGCAAATTTTTGTGTCCGAATCCGCAAATTTTACGAAAACGGATACGTGTGGACGGTGAAAACGATTCGAATACGCTGCGTGTGGACGCAAACATTTTCGTATCCGCAAAAGATAATTTGCGGATACAAAAATTTCCGGATACGTGTGGACGGGGCATTAGAAGAAGATTCTTGCTCATTATACGAAGCACGATGTGTTGTAAATGTTTTTTGAAAAAACCGAATTTTTTTAAAAAGCCGAAAAAAACCTCATGTATGGAACAAGTCTACCATTCTTGCTCATTGTTTAACTCTCGTAAAAGAAGCTGTTCCGAACACCTTGGTAGTCGAATCATGCTGAGACACATGAAGGTACTCGTTAATCTTAATAACGCCTTTTCAACTAACTCTTGTTCGCATTCAAAACAAAACGTTGGGACAGGTGATAACAGGATTATCRAGTTTTATCTGACACCACAATTTGATCTACAGTCATTCAAAGAAGCTCGTCGTCGAGTGAACACCTTGCTAAGAGAATTAGCAGAGAAACATGAAGGAATTCGCTATTTTTGGGGTGCTTTCCTTCGCTATATTTTTTAGAGGAATGACCTCGTCCGAAATTACTTTCAATGCTGCCAAACAGCCTTATTATCGAACACCAAAGTTCGGCTATCTTAACTTCGTTTTTCAACCAAACAGTACACTAGAAGTGGAAAACAAACGCCAGTTCCACGCCGAGAACTACAAGCAATGTCTTGTTGCTTGTGCCAGTAACATGACTTGTTTCTCCATCAACTTTGGAAAACAGCCCATCTTCTTTAACCAAGGGAACGCCCAGTACCTCTGTGAGCTGTTAGCGACTGATAAATACAACTCTTCGTCCAAGTATAAAAGCAAGAATCCAGGATTTGATCACTACAGCATCAGGGTGAGTTGCTTAATATTTTATTTTAAAATTTGCACACTTTCCGCTTAGTACACTATTTTGAACATTTCACTCGATTTTTGATAGCTTTTGGTATTGGGCAAAGTATGCGTTAGTTTGTGCAAAATAAACTAAGTTGTCACATCAGTATGCAGTTGATTTTGAGATGCCGAGAAAGCCATGATATGCTAGATTCTGGTGTAAACGTTTTAAAAGTTAAAAACCCCGATCCCCGGCATAGGGCAGGGAATTAACGTGGTCGGTGAAATCGGGGATTCAACGCACATTTTTTAATTGTTAAATTAAAAATTTTACAGTTCTAAGTGTTAAATTTAACACTTTCCCCGGTCCTCGGGAATACTTTTTTAATAGCGTGAATGCACGGGTATACGGAGAACTAACGCGTACTTCAACAGTTTAACAATTTTAACCGCAACAAATTCAATAATATTAACAACAAATCTTCTTTCCTGGTCAGGGAAAAAGTCCTAAATTTAACACTTTCCCCGGTTCTCGGAAATAATTTTTGATAAGACGGGTATACCGGGAATTAACGCGTACTTCAACAGTTTAACAATATTAACCTCAACAAATTCAATAATATTAACAATCTTCTTTCCTGGGCCGGGGGAAAGTCCTAAATTTAACAATACAGGCCACGATACCAGAACAGGAGCTTCGTTTTGGAGAAATAATTTTTAATTCAGTATTTTGAGAAAATATTTTAACAAATTTCTATTTCATGAATACGAAATCCAATGAAACTTTTGCCTAATAAATTATGCATTTCCTAAATATTTCTTTACGAGTAAATGTGAAAAACATATAAAGACGATCTAGCAAATGCTCAAAATCTTCTAACCAATGACATTAATCCATTCCGTCATAAGCCTATTTAAGGTGACTGCCTACTTTTGGAAAAAATATTAAACTTTTTTTCAAATTTCGATTTTCCGAATATGAATTTAATGCTGATTCCAAATCTGGAAAGAAAAATTGGGTGTCCCGAGCTTGTTTTCGAGATAATCAGTATTTAATGGAAGCCTACGCGCGAGCTTTTGGAGCAAAAATTGCAACAGCGGAAGTGATTTCGATTAGAAAAAAATTAAGATTCATAAGATAATAGTTATTTGTAGACTCTATGATTGCACGAATGAAGGCTAGTCAATCATTCTACAATAATACGTGGATATTTTCGACAAAAAGAAAAAGAAATACATTGATTTGTCATATTTTGTAGTTTCGGTGCTCTTGAAAAAATCTCATAAAGTCGAACAAAATTCCCTACAAAAATCTATTTTTTCATGTGTTAGAATATTTAACTTTTTCTAAAATGTTGATATAACCTAGATTTTTAGGAGTTTATTCAAATAAGCTATTAAAAAATAGAGAGTCCCGTGCATTTGAGGGTTTTGCCCTGTTGAAGCTTAAAACGCGTATGGTCAGTCTTCAATAAAATCTTGTAGATTTTTCAGCGGTTTTGAGCGCGCGCACAAAGTTGGCTCAATTAATCGAACGTTCAAAAGTAGGCAGTCACCTTAAAGAGTGTATGACTCAATTTACTAATACTTTTGGGAATAGAGTTCCAAATGTCGATAGCTTTATATTCTTTTCTTTTCTACTTTTATTGTCCAGTCCAACTGCAGCAAGTCTCCCTGTCTTCACGATTTCACTTGTATTCCTGATTACGATAACGACACCTACGAATGTTCGTGCCCAAGACCTGCTTACGAAGGCAAACATTGCAAAGGTATGAACGACACGAGTAGGTCCCGTCCAAACTAGTGCCGGATAAATTTGAATCCGAATTTTTATTTATTCGGTTAGGCCTACCGTCCACACTAGTCCGGGCGAATCCGGAACAACTCTTCGCCGAAAACGAACTTTGGACGGAGAACGTTTCGTATCCGAAATTTTTCGAATACGATGACGTCATGATTGTCATGGGAACATGGGGGGAAGGCTAAAAATTCACAGCAGGCTCAATTTCAGCTTCGATGCACATGCTCAGATGTGCAATGAAGCGTTTTTGCCGCCTCTGATCGGCTTAGTGTGGACGCGTAGCATTTTATCCGTTTTCATGTGTTGATGGAAAACGTTTTTTCCGGTTTCGGTTTGAAAGTTGCGGATTCAAATTTATCCGGCATAGTGTGGATGGGGCCTAACATATAGAGTAAATGAGGTTAAAAAGGTTGATCTCTTCTTTTGAATGTTTACAGATGTCGATGAATGCACCACAGGACAGCATGACTGCAGTGTGAACGCCACTTGTACTAACACCATTGGTTCATTCAACTGCAAGTGCAAAAACGGTTACCTTGGTAATGGGAACATCTGCATCAAGCAGGAAAAGAGTAAGTTCTTCCAAATTCTATTTCAAACAATGCAAAGTAGATCTTCTATTAAAGGGGCACTTGGATGAAAACGCCCCAATTTTTGAAAGTTCAAATAATTACAATATTTGAGGATAATATGACGCAATTATGACTATGTAAACATGATTAGTGAAAGTTTTAGCCTAGGCCGGAGCCACTTGCAGATGAGAAATTTTGGCTCAAAAACGAAAAGAACAATAGGGTTGAGTAAATGACGTCATTTACTCACAATTTAGATGCTGAATAAAATTGATAATTTCTATCTGAGACATTTTACTGTGAAGAAAATATGTTGCTTGGCTACTATCTGGGGCATATAGATAAGTTTAAACAAGTTTAAAGTCATTTCCAATTTTCATCGATTTTCATCCAAGTGCCCCTTTAAACCCCAAGCCTCTAATAAGCCCCCCACACTTCCCTTACACGAGTACACAAGTATGGGTAACATATGGGTGGCATGGGGGTTTTACCGCTTGCCTCTCACCTCTGTGGTCCGGGTTCGAGCCCTGTCTCAGACTGGATCATATGTGAGTCGAGTTTGTTTGTTGTTCTCTTCCTTGCCACGAGGGTTTTCTCCGGGATCTCTGGTTTTTGTCCCTCCGTCAAAATGAGCAAGTGAGTTTAGTCTCGTATGTTGTAAATATAAAATATAGTAGTACGAAAATACGTCAAAATGAGCATGTGAATTGAGTGTCGTATGTTGTAAATATAGAATGTAGTGTTACGAAAGAACTCCGTATGGGGAGTGGTGCAGACTCGTACCCAGTCGTCACTCCCGCTTTTTTAAAGCGCGCGATGGCTTTTGGGAAGGAGAGAGAAAGAGCGGGGTAAGGCGAAATTTAAACTGCATATCCGGGAATTTTTATGGCGCGCGCGTTATTGAGAAGTTGTTCTTTCTTATTTATGATCTTTTGATTAAATGTCTGAGGGAAAATTATTTCAAAAATTGACTCAAATTTTAATTGGGTTGTTAGTTCAAGAATCAGATATTCTTAACGATTTTGGCAACGACAGTTATCTTGCCGCTTTGAATACTTTCATGGATGAAGTGCCTGAAGATATCGTGAAAATTTCATGGTTCAGATGCTGGTCAGGCAAGAATGACGGGTTTAATGTGCCAACAACCTTCCATGCTCAATGTGACGGTAAAGGAGCTACGGTTACCATAGTGAGGAGAGGGAAATACATATGGGGTGGATACTCTGATAAGTCCTGGTCGTCTTCCTCAGGTGAGTCGCCACAACATAACCGGGAAACTTGAATAAAACTGACTAAATGCTTCGTAGGTCTTCAAATCATAGCTCAAAAAATACCATATTTTTTCTCTTCTTGGCGAGTTAATAGCAAAAATCTACTTTAGATATTTTTTAGAATATATTTCTTGCAAGAAAAGGGGATTTTTATCGTTATTTAGTGCGCTAACTTACCTTTTATCACCGAAAAAACTACCCGAATCCGCCATCTTTTTTTACATTCTCGCATAGCTAAAATCCTGTAAAATGCCAGCCACAATGGCCGATTTGATCACGTGACCTCTTAGTGCACGTCGCCTATCAGATAACAGTAAAATAAATGGTGATTAGACTGAAAAAAGCGTTAGCCAATCAGATTATCGCGTTCCCACGTTCCTATAATATCGATGTGCTATCTGATTGGCTGGTTAAAATATTGAACTAAATGTCGCAATATGATTGGTTAATGATACTAGTGTATCAAAGTTGTCCCGGTTGGCACAGTTAAAGACTCATCGTATTCTGTTCATTTCTTCACTCGTTTCTTTCGTTTATTCGATTGGTCTTCATTTATTTGTTTGTTGGAGCTAGAAATGATTCGCTGACTGACAGACAGAATGACCAGTCGTCAGCTATTGGACTACATCGACGATACGGCGGCCTTCTTGCCAGGATGGGGGATGGGGGCAAAACATAATAAAGATGACGGAAAAAGATATAGAGTTACGTGTGTTTGTCTTTCTTTTAAGCCAAGCCACGTTTACACTGGCGATTTTTGCGGCGATTTTCGGAAATATGAAATCTTTTGTCTCATCCTTCAAAAGAGACATTCGTCTAGGAAAATCTTGGTATCCTGAAAAAAACTTTACAAGTAAATTCTTTACCATTATTTATTATGGACAAAATCGCAGCAAAAATCGCTAGTGTAAACGAGGCTTTATGGGTAAAGGTGATCGATGTGCCGTTTAGTCGTATTCTCTTGTGGTGCGCTGTTAACATCAATCAACATCATTACTGTAACAGACTTAATTTGCCCCCTGGACTACCTATAATGCATTGTAATCCAAGATGGCCGCCTTATCGTCGAGTTAGTCCATTGATCTGCCTGATAACGATTTCTCCTTCATGTACAAAATTTGCATGATCATTCCACATAGCTGTCTGCATTTCTTACCTTTCTTATCGTTTAATAATGCATCTATTCCAGTCGCGAGTTGGTTGGTTCTCTTTCTGACTCCGAGGGTTTTTCAGGTCCAAAGGTTTTTCCTCCCTCCTCTCAAATCAACCCTAACTAATCCAAACTGGTTAGAGCTGTGCTTCCGGGGTCATACATGGACTGTATAACGGCTGCCATAGGCGCATTCACATGCTTTCAGTTCGACCCCGTTGATCTGCGCCACTGTTGTACTTACGGTGGTGATAAGCGATGACAATTTTTTTTTATCAACAGGCGGAATTTACAAGAGTTCTACAAAGTCATTCATATTCTCTTTATACAACATTCATGGCTTCAATCCTCAGAAGTTTAAGATAGTAAATACCGCAAAAGCTGTATACCATCATGCTCAATATGGACCAGCATTTGGAGGACTAAACGACATCAAGATACACAAGTACGCCACGAAAAATAGAATGAATTATAATAAACCATTTGCATATGAGATTCCCCCTGGCTGTACATATGAGAAGTATTGTAACTTCTTTACAGGCATAGCGGGTCAATATACCATCGATAACATTGAAGTGTTTTATAAGAATAAGGTGTAGTGATATGCCAAGCTCAATTACTCTTGAGTAGGGAACTTTCTCAGTCGCAAGAGTAGCTTTTACATTATACATGCATTGCACGCTTCATCTCTAATCACCAGTAAAATTTCCTTCCCACTGAGAAAAACTTAAATAAAGATTTCACTCACCCAAATCTATTTATTGTCTTCAACAATGTCTAGAGGTGCGTACGAATCCAGGACTCATTAACAATGTGACTTACAGAATTATATTAGATGAAAGGAATGAGGCATTAAATAAAAGCGTTCAAAAACGAAATGTTTGGGCCAATTTAATGCAAAAAGTATGGACTATAGCCCATGGTTTTGGTCCATTTTGGGTCATTTTCACACCTTTTGATAAAATATGCATTATTTATGAAGTATGCAAAATAGGTCATTTTTGGCCATTTTTAGGCAAAAAGCATGGACTATAGCCCATGGTTTTGGTCCATTTTGGTCCATTTTCACACCTTTTGGAAAAATATTCATTATTTATGAAGTATGCAAAATAGGACATTTTTGGTCATTTTGGGCAAAAAGCATGGACTATAGCCCATGGTTTTGGTCCATTTTGGTCCATTTTCACACCTTTTGACAAAATTTGCATTATTTATGAAGTATCCAAAATAGGTCATTTTTGGTCATTTTGGTGCAAAAAGCATGGACTATAGCCCATGGTTTTGGTCCATTTTGGTCCATTTTCATACCTATTCAAAACAATATTTATCTTTAATAAAGAATGCAAAAAAGGTCATTTTTGGCCATTTCTAGGCAAGAAGCATGGACTAAAGCCCATGGTTTTGATTTGTTTTGGCCCATTTTCACACCTTTTGAAAAGACATGCATTATTAATGAGGGATGCAAAAAAGGCCATTTTTGGCCATTTCTAGGCAAAAAGCATGGACTATAGCCCATGGTTTTGATAGATTTTGGCCCATATTCACACCTTTTGAAAAGACATGTATTATTTATGAGGGATGCCAAATAGGTCATTTTTGGCCATTTCTAGGCAAAAAGCATGGACTATAGCCCATGGTTTTGATTTGTTTTGGCACATTTTCACCCCTTTTGAAAAGACATGCATTATTT